GTGGCCCTGGCGGAAGCGGTGGGCCCGCGCGATGCGGTCGGCCGCGAGGAGCAGGCGGTAGGGGCAGAACTCCAGCATCCGCGGCAGCACCCGCTCCCCGCAGTACGCGCAGCCTCGGATGCGGCAGTGCCGGCGGTGCTGGAAGTGGCGCGCGAGCTGGACCCGGCGGTTGCACCGCACGCAGCGGGTCCAGTTCTCCTGCGTGCAGGCGGCGGCGTGGGCGGCGGCGGCGGCGGCCGGCATCGAGGCCCGGCACCAGGCGTTGGGGCAGGTCACCACCCCGCCTTCCCCCACGCGGTAGGCCGTGGCGGCGTCGATGAGGAACTGGTAGGGGTCGGGCGGCCGCTCCGCGCCCAGCCGCTCGAGCCAGTGCTCCAGCAGGTCGCGAAGGCAGAACCGCTCGAGGTACTCGGCGTGGTCGTCCGCCTCGCGCGGGACGAACTGCATCCCCGGGGGAGGGGGGAACGAATGGGGTGGGAATGGACGGCGCTCAAGAGAAGGGTGCTGGGGCGCGGTCGAGATCGCCTCTGGTGGGATGGCCCTGAGGAAGGCTCAACCTATCGGGCACGCGATAGATAGATTGAGATATAGATCTCAGTAGATCAATCGATAGATAGCAATGTGTGATAGAGATATCGGGATAGGCATATAGGCATAGAGTGGCGCCCTTTTATCCAGGGGAGGGGAAGGGGGGAAACTTGTCACGGCCCTTGTCCTTCTTGCTCCGAGCTGGGATAACGGGTGCAAATAAATAAAGTAAACGAAAAAAAAATGGGGGTCGATTGCGGGGTGAGAAGGATAAATGTGAGGTAAAACCGTAGGACAAGCTAACTTGTACACAAAAATGTGCACGCTATGGTTAGTGAGGTTTTAATTCGAATACAAAGGTGAGTCCAATACAAATGGATGAAATATCCTATCGTAGCGTCGAAATTTCAACTTTAAATCTAAATGGTGATGAAAGGCTATATATAGATATAGATAAGATATAAATATAGATATGTTGAAGGATTAAATATATAGATATATGTAAAAAAGAGAGAGACAAACTGACTTTAGATATACTATCGCTGTTTACTTCTCAATTCACTCTGATTTTTGTCCACAAACAACAAAGATAAATCGAGAAAAAATAAGCAATACTAAAATACTAAATAAATCAAGCTTATTTAATACACGCACGTATGTTTAGACGTCAAACTTGGTGCCTAATAAATACTCTGTGAATAGATCTAAAAAAGTGGTCAATAATGGACTTTTTGTTTAGTTTTATGTGGTTCGGAATTCAGAAATACTTTAGAGTGCCTTGATTATAGACTTATCTTCAGTATCCTCTTTTGAGAAGAAAAAAGAAAAGCTTAAGAAAAAATGGATGAAAAAGCAAATGTCTTAAAATACTTCACAAAAATGGAGTGAAATATGAGCAGTTCATTATGAGAAAACCGCCATTTATCAACTCAAGGTAAAAAATATAAAAATAAACGTCGCGAACGCAAACAGAAAGGTGAAAATGATTTCAACCTATTCAGTATTAAACTTTATATCGATTATAATGAATTTTACATGAAATAAGGAGCTACCGTTTGGCAAAAAGCCTAAGTCAAACAGTTTGATAATAAATTAGCGCTGAATTAAGGAAAAAGGATCCATTGGTGAATACACAAATACCCTTGTTCAGTGGCTCCCCTATTGGTTCCCTTTGACGTAAATAGATGCATTACACCAGCGCAAAAAAAAAAAGATTTATTAAACTTAAATAAACCTTTAGTGTAATATAGTTTGTTCTTTCTAAAAAAAAAGACCATTGCCACCCATGTCACAGCATCGCCTATCACAAAAAAACGATACAGTCAAGAGTAGAATACGTTCGCAGTACTTTGTTCCGAGATTTCGTAAGGTGAATACCCCCTCCCCACCACTTGTGCATTTTAAAAGCGTGTATGAGAAAAGCGAAATGTATATAGAAGAGAAAGCGAAGGTGGGAAATGCAATACGCCTAGGGGAGAACCATCTCACCTCCCCATGGGTCCCATCTTTCAAAGCAAGAAACTGCGATCCCAAAGAGTCCAACATTCTGTTTTTTGTTTGTTTGTGTGTTCAATGATGGTGGCCGTGGCTGTGGGCCTGAGCATCCCCCTCGTCCCCCCCGCAGGATCCACAGCAGGGGCAAAAATTCAGCCGCGTCAATTCCTTCTGCGTGTAGGCGTCGATCGGCTCCTCGCCGCCCTCGATCAGTGCGCGGACGGGGACGAGGAGAACCTCGACGGTGGCCCCGTCCAACTTCCCCGCCAAAGCCCGAGCCGCCGCCCCCTCCCCGGGGTGGTGATCCGTTTGCAGAATCACGACTTTCCCTTTGGGGCGGGCGGGGCCGCCAAAGTGGGCAAAAAGGGCCCTCAGCCGCCTCCCCAACTCCTCCTCGGAGTTCCCCACAAACAACACCCCGGGCGCGGGTGGCCCCGCCTCCTCCCCGACCCACCCCCGCGCCGCGGCCGTCCAAACTACCTTCAAATGCTGCCCGATGAAATCCACCATCTCCTCGAAGGCCAAGGCCATCCCGGCCTCCGCAGACGGGCCCTTTTCGCCCCCGAAGGGATTCGCGGGGAGCTCGGGAAAGGGAAGCCGCACCACAAAAGCCCGCACACCGGCCAGGGCCGCCCCCATGTACAAACTCGCGAACCCCACCCCCCACGCGAGCTCCACCATCAACTTCCGCCCCACCTCCGCGAGGGGCACGGCGTGGAGGTCCACCACCAGCACCAACCCCCCGTCGGCGGCCGAAACGGCTGAAAAAAGCGGCGAACCCCCTCCCCCCCCGCCAATCCCCCCCGTCGGCCTCCAAAGAAACCGCTCCGGGGCCCATAAAGCCTGCGCGAAATAGTGCGAACACACCACCGCCCTGTCCGCCATCGTCCTCGGCGCGGAAAGGAAGGTGAAGGCCCCCAGGGAGGCCCCCACCCCGTCGAAGCCGTCCGGCAGCAAAGGGACTTCGTCGTAGCAGATATCATAGACATTCCACAGCTCTTTCCACGCCAACCCACGGCGTGCACCCACCAAATCCCCCTTCCCGGGCTCGGAAAGATCCGCAAAGGCGGGGGAATCGCCCGAATCCAGCGATCCCGCGGCGAGCCCCGGGGCGTGGAGGCCGATGGAGAAGTGCGGAAAGCGAAAAGGCCTCGGGTGGACGGTCAGGGCGTCGGGTTCGCTCGGGTTGGGGCTCGCAGGGGTCGAGGTCGGCGCGGGGGAAATAATCCAGTCAAACCCGCCGCCCTCGGGGGGGGGCTGTGGCTGTGGCGGAACCCGCGCAAGTTCAGCAGCACCGCGTGCGAGTTCTCCACACACGCCCCTTTCCCGCGAACGCGAAGCAGCATTTTGCCGTGGATGGGGCTCCGGTTTGCGTAAAAAAAAAGATTATATATAAATATATATATATATATATATCAAGCGTTAATGGATAGCTATACTTATCAATGAACCCGCATGGACGCAGGGTATTGATGAATGTAATAAGTAAACAAAAAAGGAAAAAAGCACTCAATAATTATGAGACATCGGTAAGTGGAGTATCGAAGGATGCAACAGCTTTGTGTAAGCATAGAGGAACAAATAGCAATACCTGTCTAATAAAGATTCTTAAGATTGATAAATAGATAGATATATGTTAGTTTAGGTAAAATATTTGGTAGCATTATATAGATATAATGGTTTATCTATATGCAAAAATAAATATTTTACCTAAATGCGTGTGAATTTTTTTAAAAAAATAATAATATATTAGTATTATTTTTTTTATTTAAGCACCTTTCAATTTATAAAGTGGAGATAATTACCCTCTAATTAAAAAAAAACAGTATCTTCTCAGAGATTGTCCTAAATCAATGAGGTTGAGAAGAGCTTTTATTCTTAGGATTTTAGCCCCCTCCACCAAATTTCACTTAATTAGGGGGTAAATATATAAATCTGATAATAAACAAAAATTAACAAAGTGATATACTGTAGCCACACAATTAAGAGTCAAAAAAAAAAAAGACACACTATGAGTTAAAATAACTTGCGCAGTTTGTAGACTCAAACTGCCTTCCTAATATTTAAGCTTTGACGCACAAAAGTGTAATCCCCTTGACCCCATAGTTAATCCTTTAACTGTGTGTTATCACGGGAATTTGTTTTTTGGGGGGGATAATAGGGTTTCATAGTGTACGTATCAAAATCATCCTTCCATTATTTCAGAATTAAGGCAAACACCATACTAAACTCCTCAACAAACTGCAAGTGAATACCTCTCTGTTGATATATACACCTAAAAAAAAAAAATAATAATAATAATTGACTCTGAGAGTTGATACCTTTTACATTTTATAAATTGTATTATTTGCATATAGGTCGTTCAAATACTAATACTAATAATCATACTCATAAAATAAAAAACCTGCTGAAGAACTTATTGAACCTCCCTCACCACCACCACCTTCACCAGACCTTATAGTAAACGTTTCTCCGTGTTCATCCGCCGCACACATGAACCACGAAACATTTTAATGATTTTGTTTCCATTGATGTGATGTTGATGGACCTTATTCCAAAGCGCCTGCGCGCGCAGCCGCAGGGCGTCCTCCAAACACTTCCCGCTCCGATACGAATCGTCCTTGCGGGCCTTATCCACGGTCGCGTGGAGCTTCTCCAGCAGCCCTTTCACATCCGTGTCGAGCGAGGACGGATTAAACTCCGACGAGTACGAGGGCGAACAAAGCGGGATTAACCGCGAAAGCACCGTCATCCCCACCATCCCCAACGCCAGCCCCACGCAGGCCATCCACTGATAAAAACTCAGGCGGACGGTCTTCATAAACTCCCCGAACGTCTCCACCGCGAGGACCTGAAAAGCCACGCAGACGGCGATCACGATTAACGACGGCTTGGAGCGCTCGAAGCCCTCGAAGATGTTCACCTCCTGATAAAGCTTCCGGCAGCTCACGATGTGCGCGATGGTGGCGAGGATGATGAAGTTAAAGACGACGGTTTGGTTCTCCCGGCTCCCGCGCTCGCCAAGGTGGAGCCACGCCGGGGGCAAATACTCCACGCCGAGCGCAATCACGAGCATATACAGCGTCGCGACCCCAATGGTGAGGTGCATGCGATAGGAGATCAAAGACTCCTCGCGGTGAATGGGCGGGCGGTGGAGACATTCCTCGGTGGGCTGCTCCGTCGCCAACGCGAGGGCCGCCAAGGTGTCCATGATTAAATTCAACCACAGCAATTGCACCGTCGACAACGGCGAGGCCTCGCCGCCGGAGAGGACGCAGCCCACGAAGATCAACACCACCGAGACGTAGTTCACGGTGAGCTGGAGCTGGAGAAATTTCCGAATATTGTCGTTCACGCAGTGCCCCCACACCACCGCCCGCTGGACAGAGCGAAAGTTATCATCCAAAAGGACGATATCGGCCGCCTTCACGGCGACGTCCGTCCCGCTCCGCATGACGAACCCGACGTTGGCGAGCCGCAGGGCCGGGGCGTCGTTGGTGCCGTCCCCGGTCACCGCGACGACCTCCCCGCGGAGCATCAACATCAGCACCAACAATTGCTTATCGAGCGGCTGCGAGCGGGCCACGACCGTCATGCGATCGACGATCGACCAAAACCGCGGCATCCGCGACGCCTCGCCGTAGGCGTCGTAGACCAACTCGCGGAATTCCCGCCCCGTCATCGCGAGGTCGCCCCGCGCGCGGTTGAAGATCCCACACCGACGGGCAATCGCGATGGCGGTGTCGAGGTTATCGCCGGTGCACATCCGCAGCGTGACCCCGGCCATCTGGCACTTCCGCACCGCCTCCGGGACCTCCGCGCGGAGGGGGTCTTGAATCCCCAGCAACCCGATCCACACGAAGGGCCAAGACGGCTCCCGCGTGCCCTCAAAAGGGTCGTCGAAGAGGGTGTAGGCCACGCCAATCGTGCGATTGCCCGCCGTGGCGAGTTTGGCGAGCTGGCGGGCGAGCTCGCGCCGCCCGCCCTCGTCCAAAGCCCGGGCGACGCCGCGCTCGTCCAAAAAGCGATCGCACAGCGGCAAAATATGGTCGGAGCCGCCTTTGACGTAGTGAATAAACCCCCCGTCGGGGTGCCGCACCACCGCGCTCATGCGTTTGCGATCGCTGGTGAAGGGGAAGATCCAAAACCCCCCGTCCTCGTCATCGCCGCGGAGGCGGCGGCGGAGCTGCTGATGCGGCCGCATCCCCGCCGCGCCCGAAACAGGGCACGGCCCCGCAAGAAGCACCCGGTCGACGAAATCCAACAAGGCGTTGTCGGTTTTGTTGCCTTTGTCCGGGACCCACTCCCAGCCCCCATCCCTCGTGCGGGTCTTCTCGCTTGAGCTGCTCACGGCGATCGCCTCGGTCATCCACCGCCGGGCGGGGGCGGAGAGGGCGGAAAGCGAAATCCCCTCGTGAAAATCCCCCGGGAGGTCGACGCTGAAGTACGTCATGCCGACATAGCCTTGGACGACGCTCATGTTATTTTGCGTCAGGGTCCCTGTCTTATCACTGCAGATCTGCGTCACGTTCCCCATCGTCTCGCAGGCGAAGAGCCGCCGGACCTGATTGTTGTCCTCGTACATTTTGTTTTGCGAGTAGGCAAGGGCGATGGTGACGGCCAGCGGCAGCCCCTCCGGCACCGCCACCACCACCAACGCCACGCAAATGAGCAAATAATCAAGATAGTGCTTCACACTCGCCTCGGGGGCGTGCCGGAAGAGGCGAATCGTCTCCATCGTGCACAAAATCACAAACAACACCCCGGCAACGGTGAGCCCGATTCGCCCAATATACCCCGCGAGCCGATCCAAGCGCTGCTGAAGCGGCGTAAACTGGGACCCCTGCGGCCCCATGAGCGACTCCATCAACAATTTCCCACCAAACGAGCGCTCCCCGACGGCGCAGACGACCATCTGGGCCTCCTCGGCGGTCTGGACAACCGTCCCGGAGAGAATAATCGGGGACTCCGCGCTCTTCCGCCGCGGGTCGTTCTCCCCGGTGACGCTGCTCTCATCCACCATAACTTGCATCCCCGTCAAATAAAGCCCATCGACGGGGACCACCAACCCGGGCGAGATCCCCATCACGTCCCCCACCACCAATTCGGAGACGTCGATCATGATCCAGGCCTCGTCTCGCAGGACGCGAATTTGCTGCGCAGCGTTGACGGCGCTGAGTTGGCGAAATTTCCGCGCCTTGGCGAAGTCGTTCCCCGCGGTGACCCCGGTCACGATAAAGACGGAGAGCAAAATCGCCACCCCCTCCACCCAGGCCGTGCGGTAATCCACGGAGTCCTCGCCGGGCTCGGGGACGGTCAGCCCGAGGCCCAACGACACCACCGCCGCCCCCGCCAACACGCGAATCATCGCGTCCGACCAGGCCGCGGCGTAGACCTGCCAAAA